CCGCCTCCTGCCCAGAACGTTAGCTGGAGATGGGCACCAGCACCCCTCCCGACCCAACCAAGGGACAAGGGTGTCAGGATTGTCCCTAATCCTTCTCTACATGATCATCTCCAGAGGTCCCACAGTCGTCCCCAGAACAGAACCAACCTTCTTTATCAGGGTGTTGAGTGATTTTAGGTCCCTGGCTCTGATGCTGCTGCCGCAACAGATGACACTCTCAACAACAGACTGATAGAAGATCTGCAGCATGGAAGGATGAGCAGCACCACATGAGATTGTGATTGACAGCACTAAAACTCTCCTGCCACTGACTGGTTGTTTCTAGCACTGGAAGAAGGCAGAGGAAATAGAGTTTTCGCAGATTACCTCTCATACCACACTGTCACAACATAATGACAGTTCTAAAAAAATGTGAAAATTTTTTTTTTATAAAAGTGACATACTGCAGCTTTAATTTCACTTAGGAGAGGGCAGGTCAGGACGTCCTCTCCTGACCCGTGGTAACTTAACAGATGAGTTAAGTTACTACTCATCTGTTAGTTACCACTTAACTCATCTGTTAAGTGGTAAAAGGCACAGGGGACACAGTTAAATATATGAATATGTTGGTAATTTTTTTCCTTAATTCATTATATTCTAGTGAAAATGAGGCAAACAGTAGTTTGTAGCTAAGCTAATTATGCTAAATGGTTGATAATCTCACACAGTCTACCCACTTCTCTTGGACAAAAACTGGGTTATAAATTAATACTCTTGCCTTTTTCTCTCTCTATGTCTCTGCAACATGCAACATTTTTGCAGCAGCATTTTCTCGTGGTGAGTTCAGGTGATGGTCAGGTCATTGTTTTTGTGCACCGTGAGCAGGTAACCTTTGTTTGTAATCTGAAGATACATGTGACGCAACCTGGCACATCATTCAGGCTAATCCTAAAGGATTGTCTGCAGTCCATATGCTCATTATCTGCTTCTCCGCTTCCCTCTCTGTTGTTTGTGCAACTGACAACCCTTAAAGGTCACCTAAAAGCACATATCCAGAATATATCTGGAGGATGAATTGTTCCCAAAAGGTTAGCGGAAGCTTACCTATTTGACCCAGCCTCCATTTGGGTTGTGCAACCACACTGCTGCCGATCCAGAAGAACTCCTCAGCCAGTCTGGAGACGGACGCTTTCTGCCAAAGTTTGGGCGAGCTCATGATGGAGTGGGTGGGCGAGTTGACGGGGCTGGAGGTCCGCTTGGCTTCCCGTTTGGCCCGTGACGGGGAGAACATCCCGGATGACCCCAGGGCCTGGAAAGTAGTCTTCTTCGGGGTCGTCCGGGAGGATGGCGGCGGGCTCTGGCCCAGAGACGGCGGAGCCATCGCTGAAGGCCTGTGGTTCATCTCTGAACTATACATTTGGTTCCGGCTCACATGTCCCATTCGCAAAACATGGACATGCCTTCCTCCTGCCTCCAACAGACAGCTTTAGTCGCACCGTGGCAGCAGGTCCTCCAGTTTCCATCAGTCTCCCCACATGAGCAGATCATTCAGTCAGGATCCGGTGCTTCGTCCACAGGTTCCTCCTTTTATTCACTTTTGCCGCCTGCAGAGTGCTCTCAGTGAGGAAGTGTGCAACTTGTTTGAGTCTCTAAATCTTCCTCAAGCTGTAATCCTGCAGTGATGCTTCAGCCTGGTCTTGATAGAGGGATTTTCTGTGAAGCCAGTAAGCTCCTGAGGAGGGAGACTGGGACCGGAGGGCTTCACATGCTCAATGTACAGCTTAGAAATCTTCAGATTTAAAAACCTGAAGATAATAAAATGCAAAACAAAGACTTGAGATTTAGGGTTTGGTAGGTGGTGTAAACAAGGTGGAAGTGTTTTCTCCTAAACTGTGAGTTAGGATTTCCCTCTAGAGGCAACAGGATGATATGCAGCTCTATTATTTAAATGTCTCTCAAACAATAAAATGTAAACTATAAAATATAACATTATCTAACTATTTCACTTAAAATAAAGGAGCAAAAATTGAGTTTGAATTTTTTTATTCACATTTAGAACATAAACTCAAGCAAAATACAGAATAAACATACAAAATTTGTAGTAGTTTTACTCCTTACTATGCAGATAATTATCATTTATTTTGGTTTTTATATTGAGAAGACTAGCTAATTTGTTCAGTCATCTGCTTTATAGAATCACCTCTTGTGGCTTGCTAACTCTATTTTCAAAACGTTATTAACTCAAAGGGAAAATAAATACAAGTGGAACTTTTCACACCACAACTGTCTGTTTTTACAAACATTCAAATTTAGATTTGAAGTGAAAAACAAAAAGCATTGCAGTTTTCTTCAGCCAGCTGGCTGGCAGTGTGTAGGAGAAAACTCTAGTCACACACAGCACTTTCTCCTCCATCTTCTTGAAGTGATTTAAAACTATTGGAATGTTATACGGAACATTTTTTGTGGTTTTGAAACTTTAGAAACTTCTGTTAGCTTGATGGTGAAAAGTGACTCATGAATAGACAGCTCTGGAAAAAAGAGAGCACTTTAAATGATCAGTTTATCTGATTTTACTTTTTATCCGTATGTTTTATTCATTCAATAATAATAATGTTTTCACTCAGGAAAAGTTTGGAAATCAATATTTGGTGGAATAATAACAGGTTTTCAAAGGGGTTCAGTGCAGTGGTCTCTTGATTGTTTTCAGAGCTGCATTATATGCTTTGTGAAACAGTAGCATTACTACCTAGTAATTATCTTCCTGTACACCGGACAAAATATTATGGACACATAATTCATAGCTAGTTGGAGCTTTAACCTATAACTTTCTGAACAATGTTCAATTCATCATCTGAAAATGTGATCTGGTCACAAATGATCAAAACTAACATTTTGATGGGTTTCAGACACGTGACCCGGATGATGCGCGAAATTCAAATGGGATCCGGAAGTGGATTTCTCCGGTTCCAAACAGATCACAGTCAGTACGCTAAGGCCCTAAATGGGCTGGAACAGATGAGGTATGTCGAAAAAATATGCGTGTATATTTAGCATATGATCCTTATTGTGTAGGAAAAAAAGACTTGTCATATAATCTTGAGGATTTATCCGGCGTCGAGGCGATTGACGTAACAAACTATCTGGTGCTGCAGCCCTCATGTTATACAACGAGTCGGAAGAAAGCTTTCAAAAGCCTGGAAACATACAAATATTTTGTTTCAGGTGGGTCAATCAATTAGGATCAAAAGAAGCATTAATTGGCTGTCGACTTGTTTCTGCCGGGTGAGTAGTGAGTTAACTAGTCTACGATCGCTAACGCTAACAACAAGCTAACTAATGCTATTTCTATGAGCTTGGATCTATTTGTAAATGATTTATTTAGATTTTGTAAACCCAAATTCATGCTGGAGTTGTGTGTTAATGTTGAGTCATACTGCATTTTTACAATGTAGGGCAACCATCCGCAGCAAACTAAAAAATGTTTGTGGTCAGAGACAGTGAGAAAATAGTCGCAGCTCACTGTGACTTGCATTATGAACGCTTATCTTTATAATTACTATACTTATTACTTAGTAACTGTCCAATAAAATATCTGAAAATACAATTTAAACGATGCGATCCTTACCTGTTAGAAAGTGGTCGCTACAAACTCCGGCATTGTTAGTTTCCGCACCTCCTGTTTCTAGCTGTGGATTATTGATCCACTATCCTTGTCTTTTTTCGGTAAGTTTTTTTTTTTAATTAACTCTTTTATTACCAGCTACCTTCAAAAAACGAAAATACGTTTATCTTTCTCTATTAGAACGGTTGGAACAACCGTATACGACACAGATTTTAGGCATTTTGAGGCTGGATCAACAGAAGTAAACGGGCTGCATTTACTTCCTGACCCTCATCTGCGTTGCGTGACGTCATTACTACGTCATTCACAACCCAACAATAGTGGAAATCAAAGTGCATGTCCCCTGAATACACCGTTCTCATAATGCAAACATGGTGGTGGTAGCATCATGCTGTGGGGAGGTTTTTGAACTTATATCCAAGTAATAATTTGTGACAAAAATCAAATGTTTTACAGATGTGCTCTATTGAATCTTACTAAATTTGATTTATTGTATAAAGAATAATGGACAAAAAGTTTAATTGTACCAAAATCAGTTTGGATTTTAAAGAAAACAAACAAACAAGCACAACAAACTGAACTGAGTAGAACTGGTTTAAATTTTAATGGGTATTATACAAGTTTTCTGAAAGGAAAAGGAAAACACTGAAACAAGAGGCCAGTGAAAACCCACTTCCAGACCCCAGAAAAGTACAGGAGCTTCAGCAAATTAACACGGATACCGCTATTATACTGTACCCAACAAATACTGAGCGAGGGTATCGTAATGATAAGACATGAAAGTGTTTCCTGTCTATTACACATGAGAGCACCAAAAAGGTTCAAAAACCATCAGAAGGTCCGAGTTAACCTGTGACGGAGCTGGAAGTGCTGAGAAGTATATCATATATTTGTGAGTTTTTGGTCAGAGGTGAACTATATACTCTATAATTCATCAAATAATTAATCTATAACATCAAGTGAAAGGTTTTAAAGTTCTTTTGGAGAGAGAAACTCACAACTACTAGTAGTTTAAATCGATAAATCTACCCAGCTTGGTATATGCACTGTGACTGCGGCAACAATCAAATTACAGTTCTGCAAATTCAAATAGAGTCTCTCTGTCTTTTTGGTTTCAAGTAAGAACGAAAAATAATATGCATAATCAACTCATGTCTGGGGCAAGCAAACATACCATACCAACAAACATCTTATTTACAATACTGTATTTACATCAGACGGTATATTGAGGGAAAAGTGAATTTAAGCTCGTGTTACTTTCTGATTCTAAAAATGTAACAGGGAGTACAATGCTAGGTTCTGTCTTTAAAAAGTGCAATTACTTTTCTCAAAGTAAAAAAATAGATATCCATATTTCGTATATATGTAAAAATGTTTTTCATACAAACAGCCACTGTTGATTTAAGAGCCCTAAAACCGGAGACCAAAAAGAAAAGAAACCAAAAAAAAAGGTAGCTTTCTCTCAATAGGCAGCGAATTATTGTAGATTATAAATTACTTAAAAAGTCAGAAGTACCATTTTATAACATTAACAGCTGTTTAGGACGTTCTATTCTTTAAAGGAGTGTGTGTGTTTTTTTTTTTTTTACTTTTGTAAACTAAAGTGGGCAAAACAAAACCAAAAAAAATCCTCTGCATGGCTTTGGGAGTGAAAAACAAAACAAAACCACAACGAGCAACAAAAACTAGTACTTACATAAAATACCTAGGAGCTAAACAATGGTGAGCACGAAGGCCGCCCACCGAAGAACCGCCAATACTTCAGGTTTATATCAAATACAAAAGGTAGATAAGCTGCTATATATGTTCGTATACGGTTGTTTTTTCTCTTGCTGGTGGAACTGAGCGAGAAGTTTTCCTTAAAATGCTCCATGTGTTTTTTCCTGGAAGTGGAGCAGATGCCTAAAGGTAAGTAGTGGTAAGCTTCCAGTGGTCTGCAGTGACACCTCGGAGTGGCACGAAGACGCTCGTCGCCCGCTCCCGTTCCACCAGTGGCAGCCGGTTCCTTCCCTTCATATTCAAGTAGTGTTGTGTTGCTGTGTTTCTCAGAATAGCTTATACCGAAACCAAAACTCTGGGGCAGCGCCAGGAGGACGGCTCGCTGAAACGGTGTGTGTTTGTCGCCAAACAAGTCTCTCGTAGCTTCACTCTGTTACATGCTCATGCTTCTTTCCAGTTCATGTAGTGATTTTTTTTTGTCATATTCTCATAATAATATTGATGTATACTATAACATATCATATATGACAGATTTATTTCCTCTACAAAAGTGACCTTTTATTTATTTATTTTTTTTAAATTCCCCAACAGGAGCTCCTTTCAATTGAGTCTCTCCGTCCAGTTTTCTTTCTTTCTCTCTTTTTTTTTTTTTTTTTTTATATGTGCATGTTTAGGATCCTCTACTGGGTTGCGTGGCTTCGTGGCTTTTTGTGTCTTTGTGTGCGTCCTTGCTCTCCCCGGCAGGACTGCAGCTGGCCTGCAGGGCCAGCTGGTTCTGCAGGTCTTTCACCACGCTCTCCAGGCTCTGTCGAGCTTCTCTCTCCTGCTGAAGTTCCTGTCTCAGCTGCTCTCGGTCGGCCTCCGCCTGCTGTAGCTGCACGTGCAGCTCCTCGATCTGTGCAACAAAACCACACGTGGATAAACTTTGTTAAATCAATTTGTAAACACATGGCGTTTGGAAAAAAAAAAAAAAAAAATCAGCAAATTTGTTCTGTCCATGAGTGACAGGCCAAATAAAAATTAGATTCACTGACAAACTGAATTTTTTGTCCAATATGCCTGATAAACTTAACAAGACATAATCATTTCATATCAGTTGATATAGATAATTATTGATTAAATTTTTGTTTTAAACATCTGAAAATCTTCCAAACTGGTGGCGTGACCTTTCCTGTTTTATCCAGTTTTCACGCCACAACGTTGTTTTTCATTCGTAAGCAGTCATGAGACACAGCAGTGAAACCTTCAACGGCTGCTGTGCCAGTTACTCAACAGGTCGTTGCTAGGTAACCAAGGAACGCGTGAGTTGCTAGGTAACCAAAGAGTGAGAGTTAATGCCACCAGCCTTCATTAGCTGTGCTGTTAGAAAATGAGCGGTTAAAGTCTTTCCTTTGCCTATATCTCCCAGAATGCTTTGCAGTTCTGGAGCAGAGGTCAGTGAATATTATGTATATTGAATATTCACTTAAAATTCAAATTCACAAATATTTTACTGACCCCAAAGGGAAATTAAATATCGTCACTCATATAATTATAATTCTTCAAAGAGTTATTGAGGGAGTGATGACTATTAATTATGTTGTATGTCTATTGTAATATATTGTTATTGATTTATTGTCCAGGCATAGTCTAATGTAAGCCTTGTTATCTGCAGCAGCTTAGAAAACGTTATTATTTTCATACTTCGAAAATGTTCCTGGAATTAATAAGCCAATAATTTACCATATCTTCTTGTGAAATAGATGTGGGCAAAACAAAAACATTCCAAACATGTGCACATCAAAATGCCAGGCCTACACTTTTCAGCTTGGCCTACTGCTACTCATTCATTTCATTGTGATTTTCAAACTCTGCTCCAGCTTTGAGCAACAAATTAAAACAAATTTGACCAAATGGTGTTGCTGTAGATGCTCAGTAGTTTCTAAACAACAACAATAACCACGAAAAGCCCTGATGTTGATGCTGAGTATCAGGGCTGAAATTATTAATCAGACAAATTGTGATGGATTGATTATTGTAATAATTGTCGAATAATTTAGTAATTAACTGGATTATTCAAGCTCAAAAAAAGAGTATTTGCAGAAAGAACAACACTCTCAGAGCAGTAATTAAGCAAAAAATCTGCACAAACAATATTTACAATAAAACATATTTGTAAATATGTTCTACCCAGAACTCCTGCATAGTTTTAGCTTCACTCCTATTAGCACCATTTGCTATCCATTCATTAATCGGTTAATTAAAAAATAATGAACAGATCAGCCCTACACTGTATTAAAGTCAAGCAGAAAGGGTTTTCACATAATTGATGTCAGAAGTTTTGTTTCTGTATTTTAATAAGCAACTATGAATTACATTATTACTATAACTGCTCCTCTTCCGAGTGATTCGGCGGCGTTGCATACCTGAGTGGAGTACTTGACCCGAAGACGTTCCGCCTCACAGCCCTGGTCACAAACTCGAACTTGTCTCTCTCTGTCCAGCTCTCTCTTCAGCCGCCCACAGGATTCCTCTGCGTCCCTCATCTTCCTCTCCCAGTCCACACGGAGGCGCTCAATCTCCTTCCGCAGGTTGCGCTTGGCTTCGATGGCGTCGCGCAGGCGGCCTTTCTTAGCCACCCTCACAAACTCCAGCTCCTAAAACAAATCAAAAAGTTTTGGGCTTGTTAACACCGGCTTTCATGCAACAGCCTAAATGGCACCTATGTAAGTGTTTTTAAATGGACAAATGCTTTATCAAAGTTGCATAAACTCAAATTGAAAAACCTGATTAGAGATTTATGCTGTATTGGGGAAAAATGTAATGAAATAATTGCTTCCTAAATGCCTTGTGTCCCAAATAAATACAACAGACTTTACTTTTAAAAGCTAAACGGAGTGTTAAGATAAGATATTTACCCATTAAATTGACATAAAATGCGCATTTTAGGTCAAGGGTGTTCAAAGTGAGGCCTGGGGGCCATTTGTGGCCCCTGGATTTATTTTTTGCAGCCCACAAGACGACAATTCAAGAAAGATTTGAACAAATTAGGGCAAGATTATGACTGTTAAAATCTAATTACAAAAATGTTACAGCATAAAGTAATCATCTTTTAGGAGCTTTCCACATTTACTTATTGACTTATACTCTAAAGTACACCTTGGTGCACAAAAATCTGCTTTTAATTGATGTATTAAAACACGGCTAAATACAGCAAGTGTTTTCAAATGAAGACTGAACTAGATCCTGTTTTCATTGTTGATAATATCTTTAAATGTTCTTCAGATGCCTTTCATTTATAAGGAAGAACATTCAAAAACCATTTGAAGATTTGGATCTATGACCCCATTCCTACACAAAATATGATTAATCAATTTGTTTAAATAAAGTAGTCCATGCTTAATTAACTGTTGAGTAGGTTAAGACATACATTTGGTGATTGTAGTTTAAAAAATATATATATTTTTTGAGATATTTAAGCTGCCGATTTTGGCCCAGTTGACAAAAATTTTTGACAACCCTGATTTAGATCGAAAGGAACTTTAAACTAGTGATCTCCTGTTTCCCTGGGGTTTTTATATGATGTTGCACAGAAGTCTAGTTCTCAACAGGACAAGGGCTTCAGTTACCAAAGAACAAAAGAAAAAAAAGTTAGAAAAGAAGAAAAGGTCAGCAAGTCTCCAGAACAAGAGTGGAAAAGCTTCTGACCTTCACTGTTAAGTATGGTGGAGGATCTGTGGTGCTATGGGCCTAATTCTCTTTAAAAGTGTTTTGTTAGGTTGCCATCCCAAGCTTCCTTTAATACTGGGAGAGTTTAAATATAAATCTGACCCACTTCCAGTTTAATGAAAGGAGGTCAGCCTTATATTTTATATCTTTGATCCAAAACCCGCTACCAGATCAAAAGAGGAATAGTTAATCAGACCCACAATCACAGTTCTTCTAGACATATTTATGTGTGTAACCACAGCTTTTATTTAAAAGAGTTATTTCCTAGAATGCTTTTTAAAAGGGACGCACTGTACTAAATTCACTTTTTACACGTTTTTATTCTTCCATTTGGGTTTCTACTGCTCCTAAAAACAGACCAACTGCTTAAGAAAAGTAAAAGTAAAAAGTAAAGATTTAAAAATCCTCCAATTTTTGAGTCACACTGTACCGTTACCTAGCAACTCCAGCATATTTGGTCAGCTGTTTTTTCTGCTGTATGCGCTGTACAATGGCTGCTGGAAAAGTCAAGTGTTTTGTTGTTGACTTACTACTCAGAAACCACTTGTTACACTCTTGGTGGTTGTGCAGGAGCCTCTACTAATGCTTTTCAAAGATGTACAGTTGTATGATTGTGCGTGTATTTCCAGCCATCTTTACATGTGAGTGTAAATGTTGAGCTGGGGGGCGCTGGTGGCCTGCAGCAGCTTATTTTGATTTAAAGTGACAAAAAGCTCAAAATAGGCTGAAGAGACTGGAATCTCATTATCTAAGAATAATTTTGTGCAAAATGTTTTGTAGCTACAATAACCATCTCAAGGAAGCATCATAGATCACCTTTGTGCTGCTGCAACAAAACCTGCATTTATTGAGTAGTTTTTAGCGTGGAATACTTTATTTTATGTCTTATGGAGTAACTATAAGGCGAGGAGTTACCTGCTGCAGGCTGCGTTTGGCTTGCAGGGCAGCTGCCAGCTTCTCCTCCTGCTTCACTCTCATCCGGACGATCTCCTGCAGGACCTTTTCCCTGGCTTCTCTGGTCTCCATCCCAGCATACAGCATCTGCCTCATGGCCTCGATCTCTGGGCAAACCGGCCCCGACTGCCAGGGAGCCAGATCCTGGGCCTGCGGAGGCCTCTGGGGAGACAGGCTCTGAGAAACGCTGCCGTACGCCGCTGGAGGTGAGGTCAGGGAGGAAGCTGGAACTGGACCTGAAGAGGTTTCAGAGGAATGTGGCAGAAAATATTAGAACAACAAAAAAACAAAACCCAGCAAGTTTCCTGTTTTTTTTTTTTTTAATTATTATTTTTAGTCTTTCTTTCCAACACCAGATGGCGCAGTTGTTCTGGAATCGCCCTCCACTAGCTGCTCTGTGATTCATCTACTTTGCATACAATGAAAGACACTTGCAACTAAAAAAAGTCTCTTCATGGACTGGTTGTGTAATGCTGAACTTATTTCTTTTTTAGCCTACCGTCATCGCAGTCGTCCACGTCGATCTCTCCGTCCGTGTCCATGTCCTCGGCCTGACCAGAACACATCGAATGGGTCGGTTTGCTGTTATGTGGCTCTTTTATGGAAATGTTTTTGGATCCTGAAACGTGGCTGTCGTTGGGATGGAGCGGAGGAGAAACCAGAGTCTCACGACTCCTATTGTTGGGTCTGTGGAGAAAGTATGCATAACTCAAATATTCTGTATTTTATACGCGCACAGTAAAACAGATCTGTTTAGAGGACTCACCTCTCAGCTTCTTTGTGAGGTACCGGTTTCTCCTTTTCCACGGCTTTTGGAGACCAGGGGCGGAAAGCAGAGGGCCTCTGTTTCAGCTGGACCTGTTTCAGATCCTATTGAGAGCAAAAAACAACTTCGGTTAAACTCTGTGAACTAAGAACATTAAACCAGCCATGGAGAACGCAGTCAAAGGCCCCTCTATTTTAAACACAGCCATGTAATTGGAGGTCATACATATATGATAATGAAATGACTGGAAGGAGAGCGAGTCTTGTGATCTTTCAGTTTTACATCACCATGAAACAGGATTCATAACCCTTGAACTTTTTCGCCTTTTGTCATGCTGCAGCCACAACTTCAGTGGAGATTTTATAGATCAACACTGATGAGAGCAAAACGGAGACACAGAAGACAAACAGCATAACTGTGTTCAACTGAGACGAATAAAAAACACCTTCTGCTTCATCGTTCGCTTTCCCACAGTAAAATTCAAACACTTTTCAAGCATTTTACAGTTTTTCCAGCATCACTTTGGAGATAAAACAACACAAATGAACTAAAAACAGTTTCATTTCACTAATAAATGATCAGATTTATTATTGAAAATGTATCGATATTCTATGTTCTACAGCAGGGGTGAGGTAAACTAAAATGTGATAAAAGTTTATGTTTTTAAGTGTCTCTCAAACACATCGGACTAATTCAACAAAAAAAGACAAGATCAATTACACAATCAATAAGTTGCTGAGTAATTAGGAATAATAAATATTCATTACAACCACAAGATAAATGACCTTCCTGCTCAAATTAAACGCAATATACAAAGAAAGTTGCAAAAATTATCTAAAAATAAATGTTCTGACTAGGTTTTCTGGCTTTTAGCAAATACAAATAATTTTGGCAATTTTAAGTAACAATAAAAATTGAATCTAATTTAACTTCAGCAGCGAGAAAAAAAAGTGAAAATGTTTGTTTTCAGCTGTAAATAAAGTTCCAATTTTTGGCTTTTAATCAAATGTTAGACTGTAAATTAATACAAAACGGTGCAGTTTGAACATCAAGCTCTTTCAAGGACTTTATAGAGAAATCAAGCACTTTCCAAACCTTGAAAACGCCTAAATAAAATCCCAGGATTTTTATGGATTTAAAGCGCCTGAACGAACCGGGCCTCCTGGAAGGAAAACCTCTGCAGCTCTTCTGCGAACTCCACCAGGTTATGTTTCAGCATTTCCCTGTTTTCAGCTCCAGCCTCTCTCTCCCTGCTGAAGCATGATGCTGCCATTACCGTGCTTCGTCACGGAGGAGGAGCGTTCAAGACGAGTCACTGTTATTTCACCACCAAACAAAGTTGTGGGTCTCTGCAGCGGTTTAAATTTATTTTTTAACTGACGGAGCAAATATTACATTTCAAAACTTGGACTTCTGTTTTTTAACCTCATCCTGTTTAAAAACTTCCTTCCTGTCTTCATGAAGCTTTTACTTTTCTCCATCAGACTTTCACAAACTCACTGGATTTTTACTGAGATTAAACATGTACGCCTGTTGCAGTAAGCAATTAATCAATTGATCAATTAATCACATGATAAATTACAATGATGGTTTTCTGATGATTTCGGAGAATTTAGTTTAAAGGCTTTTTAATACGATTTCAGTTGAATTTTGGTTTTATTTCCTTTTTATTTCTTGTTTTTGTTGTGTTTTATTTTGGTAAAATGTCTTCCAGTTTCATTGTAGATTAAATCTACAATGATTTAATCTACAAAATTAGTCTTTCTTGTGAAAGACTAAAACTTTCACAAAATTAAAGTTTTAGTCTTTCAGAGGACAACCTTGTATTATTATTTTATTTACATGAAAATGGTCTTAAACTGACAGTATTAAAGTCTATCATAATAACTTTAGGGCCAGTTTTTTGGACAGGTCGACTCTACTCACTAATTATGTGACTTTTTAATGCAATCTCTGAAACTGGATTATATTTAGAGGTATCAGAGTAACACAAATAGATGCCATGTGATTTAGGTTTATTTGTAAAAAGAAAAAAAAAGCATGCGTCATTTTCCTACTTTCATGTTGTCACATTAATCATGAAACAAAGTTTATGTAAGCTGACAGAATTTTTAAAAAACGTTCATGGGTTATAAATACTTCTTTTAAGATGCTGAAAAGCTTACAAACCTTGTGTGCAGACTTGGACATGGACTGCAACCAGTCAGGCTTCCTGTCTTTGTCAGATGGCGGAGACTGTAATTTGTCAAATTTGGCCCTCTTGGCCGGAATCGGGCTGGGGGACTGCAGAGAGAGGCAGAGAGTGGAGGTTTAATCATCGACATCCTCGCGGAGATGAAGTGCACACATTACATCACAGAGTACAGCGGATATTTCAAGAGCCTACAACTTCTAAAAACTACTGCCCTGTGACTGTGAAAGGTGTTATTCATGAGAGGCACACAGATTTGTCAGAACATGAAGAGATGTTTCAGAATTCCTTCCCACAGTAAATAAAAGACGGTCATGGAAAGGGAGCAAATTATAGAGCCACAGTGAGGCAAGGAGGATGGAAGATGCGTCTGTGTAAGCATTCAATCTCTGGGCTTGGCATGCCTGCGTCTGTGTGTGTTTTTGTGCGCTTGTGTGTGAGCGGTCCTTTGAGCTGAGCAGACACTCAAGCTGGCCTGGCTGGCAGCCAGCGTAGGGCTACACTGCTGCCTGCCAAGGAGAAGAGGCGCCGTCAGGTGGAGCAGATCGACTCCCCGAACCACAGAGACACCGCAGTCCAAAGGCAGACAGGGAGGAAGACAAATTAAAGTAATTGCAGTCGGATCTGACTGCAGATGGGATCGCACGGTTGACGCAGAACTGCAGAGTCATTGTGCAGTTCGAGGGCATTCTCAAAACCGGAGAGGAGTTAAAGTATCCGTCTGGATGCAAAGTGCTGAATCCTGTAAAAACTGTGGCGTTCCTGCAAGCTGCAGGACGGCTAACCTGCTCTCAGCCCTCCGGTCTGCACTTGTCAGACAGAGGATATGTTTACCTAGTCAGGCGCAGAGGCCAGCACAGACCTGCTTCCCGCTCTCTTACTCACTACTATGACATCCTGCCTGCAGGAAGGGCCAACACTCCCATCTCCCCGCGTGCGATTCAAGAGAAATGATTACTTCCCTTCAGAAATCCTCAATGAAACACGCTCCTGCAGGTTTATGTGTGTTTGTGAAAATCTTTATCGCTGCTTTGCTGTAATCACCTAAAAATAGAAATTTCGCGAGAAGCCTGGCTGGTAATGAATCACGTCTAGAATGGTTTTCTACACAAGGCCACGCTCTGTGCGTGTGTGTGTGCGTGTGTGTGTGTGTGGTTGCAGCTGTGAGTGGGACGTGTGGTCAGGTGGGTGGTTAAAGGAGTGTAGACACGTATGTGCATGTGGGAGGGTGTGTGTATTCATAGGAGCGTGTGTGTCTGATGGAGGTGGAGGTGGTACGTTGGGTCTGGCACAGCACACCTAAAATAAAGACAAAAATGTCTCATACGCACTGTAAAAAGGAATTCAGGAGGATGTTCAATATTAGTCATTAAAATAATTTAAACTTTTATGCAATGTGAGTTTTTAATAGCCAGACTTAGGCAATATGTCACAGTTATTTTCCATCATCACTTAATCACGATAAAAATGTTCCCTCCTAAAAGCCTCTATGTGCTTATTCCTCTGGTGATGTCACATAAGGCAGCTGACCAGAACTAGGTATATTTTTATTTTACTTTAAGATTTTTCCATATCTTTAATATTCAAAAGAAAATGCAGGTTTAGAAGTTGAAATACTAATGCTAATTGACACGCTATTGACTTGCATTTCCAATCAAAGCACCCAATCCAGATTTGATACTGATTGGTTGTATCAACCATTAGTGGAAATAAGGACGATTATTAACTTCTGTGGAAGTACTTTGATGGTTTCCATTATTCTTTTTAACTCATATTAATATATATTTCGTTTCTGAACCAATAAAACATGTAGTTATAAGTGAACATCCAGCTTAGCCATGTGAGATAGAACCCTTAAAACTTAAACATAGATTCACTTCTTAGAGTCTTTGTTAAAATCTGGCAAATGGTTAGCATAAAGCTACACCCACTATGTTTCACAGTAGGAATTGTGTGTTCAGGCTGTTTCTAAATTGTTATTTTGTGAAAAATTAAGAGAGATATAAGATTTTGTGGCTCAGAAAGTTCCTGTTTTGCAGCGAGAATTTTGGCTTGTGTACAATTTTAACTAATTTAGCTACACAGTAATACAAAAGACAAACTCGCTGGTTAAGTTATGTAGTAGCTGTTACTTAGCTGTGGTTTTCAGGAAAATCTTTAATATGCTATACTATTATAACAAATTTAAAAAGTTGCAGTTTTAAAACCATATTTAACTAGCTTAATAAGAATGCTAACACTAAGAACAGATTTGCTTGCTAGCTAACATTTTAACCTTGAGGTAGTTGTTACTGATAAGCAGCACATCTTAACTGTGGTTGCTAGGAAAACATTTAACCTTTGATGGATCAAAATGTTAGAATAGATCAAAAAAGTTAAGTTTATATCCATCTTTAGCTAGCTTAGCAACAGCTACAGTTAGGCTTTAGCACTTGCTAAGTCAAACTTGTTAGCAAGCTGAGCTCAGCAGTTTCATATTTCTATTTTAGTGACATTTCATATCTTAATCACAAAATAATAAATATCTTTTTGTTTCCAGGTGTGCAAAATGGTCTTAATAATTTATTTGAATGTCTTTTAGCTGGGCAGTGTGAACAACTTGGTTCAAGGCAAATTTCTCCCCAAGCAGACAAATAAAGAGACTTTAAATTATTTCTTTATGTGAAATATGATTAAAATATACCCACATAAAATCTATGTCAATTGTGAAACCTGTTAAACTCTATTTTATCAGAGCAAATCACAATGTAAACATAAAATAACTGGAAATAGTTTTAACAGCTGTTTAATAAATAACTCCAGTTAAACATACGCAATGATAAATTCCCGTTTTTATTTGCTTTGTATTTACAAGTGCAGGCTTAGCGCTTCATGAGGTGTGCATGTTTGTCGGGACACTCCCCTCATGTCTCCACCTGTCTAACCAGTCGCCACTTCACACACCTTTCACACACAAAGCTCCGTGTTTGTTTTTGCTACTGTAGGTTAAATCCTTTAACCCAGACCTCCTCCAGACTGCGTCCCACTCAACGGCGACTCGACCCCTCACCTGTCTTTGGGTCCAGGCCAGTGGTATTCTAAGAGCTGCCGGGCCGCTGTAATCAGACTCTGTAATTACTGACGTGACTGCTGTTTTCCTGACAAAGGATGTCTGCTCGTCTGGTACTATTTCTACCCTGAGGTTTCCAGCTCCAGGAAGGCTGTGAGCACTAGACATAATAGAGCCAGAAAACAGACACTCCCAGACACCACAAGGGACCTGCTGGCTAAATATGACACTGACCTCACAGGAGAGCAGCCGCACAGGCTTTACTCACCACCACATCATAGACACAGCACGGCTGCGGAGCCATAACAGCCTCCCCGCACATCCTACCGCCTCACGAGTCCCACAGGGCCCGGATTGGACATGCATCCCTTTCTTTCCCCTCACACTGGAAGGAGAGGGAGACTTCCTCTGAGGAGTTTGCTTTGGCTGCGTCCCCTGTGGGAACTGAGTCTTGAGTGGGAGGGGGAGTGGGCCAGAAGCGGGGACCACAGAGGAAGCACTGAGCCGAAGGAATGTGTATTTGAAGGCCAAGTACAGCCTCCCCTTTCAGACTCCATTCAAGCATTGCCCTTTTCAACTCGCTATTGTATGATATTTCTTTGAGAAGCAGTAATGAGGGAGCAGTTCAAAGCAAACCTGTGGGCTAAACAGGGTCTAATAGCAGATGGGCAAGAGCAGACATGCATTATTTTTTAATTAGTGCTATATAACAGCAAGCCAATACTGTACAAGCACAAGGCCTTGGCAATTTTCATGCCAGCGTGACTTATAATCACACACGCGGCTCACTGCAAACACATCAACATCTGAATGGAGATCCTGCTGTTTATCCAACCTGCTGAATAACAACTTGAAGCTTTTTTCATATCTGATAGAGTGTTAAGTATCTGTGCTGTGCAAACCATTTCTTACTTTGGCAGAGCTTCAGAACACAGATTATTAAAAGCAAATTCAGATAATAGTAATAATAAAAAATTAAAGTCTTCCAATAAAGGACGCCCAGTTATTTGCCCTTGATTGATTATATCACAAAAAAGAAAAAATATTTTACTAATGCACAAAAGACAGAATAAAACTGATGTCTCCAACGCAGAGGAGACGACTTATAAAAAAGATTACTCATAAGGATTAGTGAAAGAATAGAGTCAAAGCATGATGGCTGTAAAACGCTGTAGGTCTGACAGGTTGTAACAAGAGTGTGTCCCTTCTGACTCCCAGTCAAAACTAACACTAATTCTGGCTGCTACACCCTCAGACTGGAGCAATTTCAAACCTAAAACTTATAAGTTAAAAGAAAAATGGGCAATCTGACAAACAGACACAACTCAAGTGACAGCCTTGCCAAAAAACATGGTAATAATAAAAATATTAAATCTGTTCATGTGAATAAGTTAGAGAGGGCGGTAAATACTGAAATTCTCCCTGGAAGTCGTAATTCTGATTTATAAAGGCAGATATTCTAGTGCAACATGTGATTTCCAATCCAAAATGGCTGCCTGGTGTTTTAATGTAGCAAAAGTTAGTGAAAATATTTATCTTACATCTTTGTCTGTCATTAAATCAGTCACAAAAACCAACTAAAACTAAAATATTTTAATCATAAAGCTACATTTAGACGTAAATTAACAATTAATTTACATCTGTAAGACAGTTTTTTTAAGTTTACATCTTGACTGAGCAGTTTTACGCTTTTGAATTATATTTCACACAAATAAAATATGCAAACTGATGACTATATACATTTATTTAGATACTTCCAAAATAATATCAGTGTGTGTAAAAGTGTATGTATCTTTGTGTATCTTAGGGTTAAAAGTTGAGAAAATAAGATAAATACCAAGATAAATGGAAACAACAAGGACTGTTTTTTATTAACAAATGCCATCTTATTCAATAAGTCTGTAAGGCACAAAAAGATCTATAGATCTTTATTTGTTAAAATAAAAAAATACCTATTTGAACAATAATAACAAAACAAAGTCCTGGATTTATCCATGTGTTTGTGCATCACAGATTGAGCAGCGCTGCTGCTTCTTTATAATG